GGCAGAAGATGCCCGGCGGGTACTGCTCCTGCCCCCTGGAAGGTGAGGAGCCCTGAGGCCCTCCCCCAGGTCGGCCTCCTCAGGAGGGCAGGGCTTCCTCCAGGCGGAGTCATGAAAGAGGCAGAGGTGTGGGGAGCTCCCTGCCTCCTCCGTGCCCTGCCCCCCAGCCCTCCCCTCCTAACCTCTGGGACCCTCCTCTCACCTCCTCTCCAGCAAGGGGTGGTTTGTAGTACGGTGTCTCTGTTTCTTTTCCTCTTGATCTCTCCATGGAAACCCCTCTTGTCTGGGCCTCCAGGGACCTGAGCTTAGGGACGTCCACTCTGTGACCGCTCACAGCCTCCCACCCGGTGGGTTATCCCCTTCCCCCAAACTCTTCCCTTGGCTTCTAGGACACTCCACTGGTCACTCTATCTCAGTCTCCTGGTTTCTTCTCTTCTCCCCTGCTCCTAAATGTTGGGGTACCCCAGGGCTCAGGGGCCTCTTCTCTGTCAACACTCAGGCCTGGGTAATCTCACCGAGTCTCAGGTCTGAAATACCGTCTAGTGCCAATGACTCCCATGTATGCCCAGAGCCCTCTCAATTCCAGACTTGAGCACCCCACACTTTGCCCCGCCCCACACTGGGATGTCAACCGGGCATCTCAACTCCAACAGCAGCTCAGCTCCTAAAACAAACACCTGATTCCTGCCTCCCCCAAGTCTTCCTGCCTCCTTCTAATTGCTCTGGCCAAAATGTTGGATGTTGTCCCTGATTGCTTTCTTTCTCTCCCAGTCTTGAAACTCCTCACTGATCCTGTTTCTGCTCCCGACATCCTAGGACCTGTTTGTTCTCAGCAGAGCAGCTGGAGAGAGCCATTAGTCAGGTCATGTGACTTCTCTGCTCAGAATCTTCCGGTGGCTCCCACCTCATTTGGAGTGAAGGCTACGGTCCTTACAATAACCTCCCAACCTTCTGCCATCCTCCGCCACCCCTTTCCTCCTTGCTCATCTGCTCCGGCCACACTGGCCGCCTTGTTCATTGAACAAGCCAGAGACACTCCTGCCTCAGGGCCTTTGCATCTGTTCCTTCTGCCGTTCATTCCCTTCTCTAGGTACCACCATAGCCCACTCCTCTACCTCCTTCAGGTGTCTGTTTAAATGTTAGCATGTCAGTGAGGCTTTCCCTGACCAACATGCACCTGTACCTCTCCCAGGATTTCCTACCTGCCTTATGGTGCTTTATTTTCACTCCCCATATTATAGATGTTTCTATTTCCTTTTTTATTTTAATCATTTATCTCCTTCCATCCCCAACTAGGATATAAGCTTCATGAAAGCAGGGGCTTTTTTTGGGTTCAGTGATGTGTCCTCAAGATTGTTAGAACGATGCCTGGCTCATAGGGGGTTCTCAGTAAATATTTATTGGGTGGATGGAGAAGACACTGGACTGAGATACAGGGTGCCTGGGCTCTGGACCTGGCTCTGTCACCCCTTGGCATTAAGAACAAGTTTACAGATGAGGGACCAGATTTGAGGGATGAAGTTACTTGTGTAGGAGCTGGGGTTAGCTCTGGGGCTGTCTGGCCCTCCCCCTGCCCTCCCCTGCCTCCCTGACCTTCTAACCAGGGGCTAGATGGAGGAAGATCACTAGCAGTGCACCCACCGGGCTCCCAGGCATGTTATTAAGGAGGCCTGGGCTGGGGGAGGCTCTGGTCCCATAGACTCAAAGGTGCTCATTTGCTTGCAGAGGGGACCAGGCCCTCTCAGGTAGCCCCCCAAAGAGGCCTGCAGCAGCCACCAGACCTGGAGCTTACCAACTCCTTGAGCCACCTGGATGCCCCTGGCCTGGCCAGGTGGCCCCTCGGCAGGGAGGAGTCCCTCAACTTACCTCACTGTGCAGAGCTCGGCTGTAGGGCTGAGGGAGTCTGCTCCTTCCCCACGACGCCGCAGGCCCCCATCGACGGCAGGATCGCAGGTGGGTAGGGGGCTGTGGTCCCTGGCCTGGGGGGAAGTCTCAGGTGACAAGAGAAGGGTGGTTTTGATCTGGGGGATGAGAGGGCCTGTCTGTGCTGGGCAGTAGGGGTGTGGGGTGACTGTCCTGGGTGCTGGCCACAGTCTGGCCACAGTGAGCACTGCTGCCTGGGACTGTCAAGCCCACCTTGTCTCCAGAGCAGACAGTCAAGCCAGTCACAGTCAGACAGGTTAGCAATCAAGACCTTATCTACTTTTAAATAGTTGAGCGCTAACTGTGTGCCAGGCGTGGTTCTTTATTTAACCCACAGCAGCCCTCGAGGTTGGGATTTTATTAGCCCCAGTCACAGGCCAGGAGAGTGAGGCACAGGAGGCCGGATGGCTTCCCCGTGTTCGCACAGCATGAGTGGCGGAGCTGGGGTGAGAACCCAGGAGTCCGGCTCCAGAGCCTGAGTCTGCAGGTGATACGCTTCCGTATGCACTTGTTAAAGGACTGACTAACAGACAGGCAAGCGGACAGACTGACAGATAAGCACCAAGGGTGTTTTCTAGCCATGTGGGGCCCCTACGCTCGTTCTAAGACACCACAGAGGGAGGGGGCCTGGCTTCTGGATTGGGAATGACTGGGACTCGCTAAAACACAATGACTTGATTTCTGAAATAATAATGCTTAGCATTCTTTGAGCTCTTACCTTGTGCCGGGTACCGTGCTAAGGTTTTTGTTTCTGTTCTGTCGCGTTATTTCACGCTGGCACCCGGCCCTGGGAGGAAACGGGAGCTCTCGGGGCTCACCGGCTCCCTCTGCTGCTTGGCCTCTGCGGTGGCACATTTGATTTTCCCGNCGTTGCGTTATTTCATGCTGGCACCCGGCCCTGGGAGGAAACGGGAGCTCTCGGGGCTCGCCGGCTCCCTCTGCTGCTTGGCCTCTGCGGTGGCACATTTGATTTTCCCGCATCTCCCCTGAGGATGCAGATGGATGTTAGAACCCCATTTAGCAGAGTCCAGGGGGCTGAGCGACTGGGCCAGGGGCGGACAGGGAGCTGGAAGCCGCCTGCCCCCAGCAAAGGGCATGGGCCTTGTGTCTGCAGAGCTGGGTTAGACTCCCTGCTCTGCCTGCCACCGAGGAGCTTGGTGCCTTGGGACACATCTGCACCTCCCTGAGCCCATTGCCTCATCTCTTCCTGGGGATAAAGGTAGCACCCCTTAGAGTTAGGGCGATTGAGTGAGACGAGTAATGGGCCCCCAGTTTCTGTCAATCCCGTCGTGTTCACTATCCTGCTGCTCCAGCCTCGAGGGCCCCAGGCCGCCTTCCTAATGCCCATCTCCCAGCTGCACCCCGTCTAAACCCCTGTGCTCGATTGCAGACTGCCGGCTGCTGTGGGATTACGTGTACCAGCTGCTCTCTGACACCAGGTACGAGTCCTTCATCAGGTGGGAAGACAAGAATGCCAAGATCTTCCGAGTTGTGGATCCTAATGGGCTCGCCAGACTCTGGGGAAACCACAAGGTGAACCTCAGCCAGCAGGCGGGATGGTCTCAACATATCCAGAAGGGGACAGGGCAGGGGGTCAGAGTGGACCCTCAGCACAGGGGACAGTCCTTAACTGATGAGGGCTTCCCCAGCAGCTCCAGAAAGTGTTGGGATCATTTTATTTTGGGAGATCCTGAAGGACAGACAGGTACTTCTTGAGGACGGGGACTGTCCCCGGAACTTGGGAATCTTGCCTTCTAATGGCTTAGTCCCACCTTTGCTCAGCATTGGGGCCTGTCCGAGCCCGTGCACGTGAGTTGCCCATCATGTGCGGTGGGGGGGTCGGGCAGATGAGGAAGGGGGCCCCCTGGGGGAAGCCGGGACAGAAACCCAGGTCTCAGGGCCCGCAGGAGCATCCGCTGTCAGGGCGGGAAAGGCCTGGGAATGGTTGAGACCAGCGTTCCCAGCGTGAGGGATGCCCGTTCGTTCCTAAATGGGTGTCCTCCAGGGGAGTCGAATAGCTAAGTACTTATTTTAGTAAGAATTAGGATTAAACAATTTAGCTATCATGTCAATCTTATGATTTGCAGCGGTGATGTAAAGCAAGTGTCCTTGTCTGTAAATTGATTTTTTTTTGGTTAATCTTCACCTGAGAATATTTTTTCTATTGTTGTTTTTTTTTTTTAAATATATCTTTATTGATTTCAGAGAGAGGAAAGGAGAGGGAGAGAGAGGGATAGAAACATTCAATGATGAGAGAGTCATTGATCAGCTGCAGCCCGCAACCTGGGCATGTGCCCTGACCGGGAACCGAACCCCGATCGCCTGGATCCTAGGTCGACGCTCAACCGCTGAGCCATGCCCGGCTGGGCTCTATTGATTTTTAGAGAGTGGACGGGAGGGAGGGAAAGAGAGAGCGAGAGGGAGAGAAACATTGATGTGAGGGAGCTACATCAATTGGTTGCCTCCTGCGTGTACCCCGACCGGGCTGGGGAATGAATCTGAAACCCAGATATGTGCTGTTGACCGTGAATTGAACCTGAGACTCTTTGGTGTGCAGGCCGATGCTCTAACCACTGAACAACACCGGCCAGGGCATATAAATTCATTCAAGTAAAAAAAAAAAAAGAGTCTTTTAAAGAAAACTATTAATAATAATGATAATTTGCAATATACGCATTTCTTAAAATGGTATAGCATTTGATTGGCAGGCACTGCTCTGAGGGCTATTCCTTATTAACTCATTTACTCCTCCCAACAGCCTGGTGAGGGTAGGTCGGTACTATCAGATGGGGAAACTGAGGTATGGATTGGTTTATCAGCTCGTCCAAGACTCTGCAGCCAGGAGATGGCTGAGCTTGGCTTTGTCGCCTCGCAGTAGTGCTGGTGGCTGGAAGGGTGCAAATGGCTGAAGTTTGGGCATGCTTGTCTGGCCCAACCCCCGCATAGTACAGGGTGGGGATGAGGGGACCGAGGTTCAGAGAGTGGTAAGTTCATTTAATGAGCACATACTACATGCCAAGCACTGTGCTAAGTGCTCTCATGGATTAGCAATTTAATCCTTACCACAAACCTGTGAGACAGATGTTCTTTTCTTCATTTTATAGCCAGGGACACAGATTCAGAGAGGTAAAGAAACTCGGCCAAGGCCACACAGCTGCCAAATGGTGGAGCTGGGGCTTAAACGGACACCAGAGCCCAGCTGCTCTGCCCCTGCTCTGCACTGTCCACCTGCAGAGAGAGGAAAAAGTCACTCGGCCGAAGTCACTGGGCCCTTGCTCCGCTCACCATGCTGCCTCGATTACGTTTCCAACTAAATATATATTTAATTATGACATTTGCTGTTTAAAAGCAACATGTGACTCGCTCCTGCCCCACGGCTGCTCCCTTCCAGGCGTGGACGCCGAGGCCAGGGAGGAGCGGGGCGGGGAGTGGGGCGAGACGTGGGCTGCTTTGCCTTGCAGAACCGGGTGAACATGACCTACGAGAAGATGTCGCGGGCCCTGCGCCACTACTATAAGCTGAACATCATTAAGAAGGAGCCCGGGCAGAAACTCGTGTTCAGGTGAGCAGCCCCTGGCCCAGGTGCACAGGGAAGCAGGGCTGGGGCTGGTGGGCAGGAAGCCCCCCCACAGCTGGGGCAGCTGCTGATTTGCAGCCGGGGCCTGAATTCCAGATTTCTGAAGATACCCGGGAAGATCGCCCAGGACAAGGGAAGCTGCCTGGAGCAGCTGGAGAGTCAGGAGCAGGACAAGATGGATTTCAAGGTGAAGATGCTGGAAGTCTCTCCGTGAAGGGCATGGACTCCGGCACTGGGCACCCAGGGGACAGAGACTGAGCCTCTCCTGGAGGCAGCTAGCCGCATGGCCGCCGCCTCCTCCCAGGGTAGCAGGCATCCCCAGGCGGGTTTTGCACTTTTGGGATCTGTTGTCTGGGACCTCAAAGCTGCCCGAGGACCTGGGCTGGCTGAGAACTGGAGGCTCACATCCAGGACATTGGGGGGCATCATTCTTTGGGGAGGGCAGCCTTGGGCTAAGTGGGGCGCAGGGCATGAACTCTCTCTGCCCAGCTAAGGAGAGGTAGCCCCGCGCTGAGAGCATCCAGCTCAACTCCTTCAGTTTGCAGAAGAAGGGACAGAAGTCCCTCGCTGAGCCTCAGCCTACCTCATCCATCAAAGGGGCATGCTCGTGACACCCCCCTCAGGGGCTGACGTATGAACCTGACAAAAGGATTGTTGCTTTGTCAATCTCTGTGATAAAAATAGTGATGATACCTGACATTTAAGTGCGTGCTGTGTGCAGGCCCGTGCCGAGGGGCCTACCTATATGTTACATCATTCAGTTCACACGCCGAGCCTGTGAGGCTGAAGGGTCCGGCAGCGGAGGCAGGGGCTCCAGAGCTGGGATGTCCCCGGAACCCAGCGTGCTGCCTGCTTTCTGCTCGTGACCCTACCTCTGGGCCTCCCGTCTTTGTGGAGCAATCCCCCGTCCTCAGGTTTCAGTCCTTCGGTGGCTCTGTGACTGTGACCCAGTGAACCCTGTCACACTCCACCTGTGGCTCCTGTGCTCCCACACCTGTGCCTGCCAGGTGACTCTGGGCAAGTTGTCCCACCTCTTGGGAGAAGTGGGGACGCTGCCCTGATGACCTCCCGGGACAGCCAGAAAGCGTCAGTAGGGCCGCATCGCGGGTGCTCAGCTCTGCCTGCTCCGTAGGCAGCTTACTCCGCCTGAGCTCAGCTCTGCAAACCGAGGGCTGCTCTGCCGCCTGGGAAGGCCTCTGTCCTATTGGGTCAGCTCTCCTCTCTGCTCCCCAGCCCCCCAGAACCCCAGTCCCGGCTGGGGCCTCCTGAGGGGGTCGGAGCCTCCATCCCGCACCCTGGGGAGGTTGGGGAGAGCGCGCGGGGAGTGTTTTCACTTGATCGAACACAGAACTCCTTGGGTTTGCATCTTCTCTCTTGCCTCCAGCAGGTCAGGAACCCCCATCTGGCTGAACCTGAGTCACTGTACAGGGGAAGCTGATACGGGTCCTTGGACTTAGGGACTCAAAGCTCACCAGCAGGGAGACTGGCTGAGTCTGTCTGGTGCTCTGACAAGTCCATACCCGAGGGCCCAGGCAGGGGTCTTGGCAGACAGGTTCAGCAGGAAAATGCTTGTCCCTCCATCGTCCCCGAGACTGTTCTGTCTGCTCGACTTGGGTCCAGGAGGAACCCACACCCATAGCCTTTCTCACCATCCCCAACCCAGAGCTACAGAACTGGAGTGGAAGGGACCCTGAAATCAAGTTATCCACCATCGCCCCTTATAGATAACACAGCGGAGGCCAGAGACAGGCGTGACTTGCCCAAGGTCACAGAGCCCAGCGCTGCCTGCTGGCCCCTAAGGTTGCCTCTTTTCTTCTTGTCTCACATTTTTTTCATGGGTCCAAGATGTAGAGATTTAGACAACAGAGTGGAGTCAGAGCTGACTTCTTCCAGTTACGATGCTGGCGTTGGCCTGCTGGTGTGTTAATGGTTGAAAATACCTGCGTATCCTAGGAGCTGTGCCTATATCCAGGGCAATGAATCTCACCCCACACTGGGACTCTTGGGGCCAGGGGTGGGCCGTGGGCTCGGGCAGAGCTCACCACCGCAGATCCAGGTCCTTGGACTCTCCACTGGGCCCTGGGCCAGCTCCGCCCTCTCCCCACCTCCCTGGCCCGTCAGGCTGTGCTCCGGGATGGACACCTGGGGGCCAGGAGCAAAGGGACTCTTCAGCCCTTCCTTCCACGAGCATTAATTGAGCACCTGCTGTGTACCTGGCATCAGACCAGGCTCTGGGTTTACCTCCACTTTTTACAAATTAGATTCCCGAAAAGTCGTGGGTCACTGAAAACAACACATGTAGAAGTGGACTTCCTCACGAATGATTTTAGCAATGGAAAACGGTCCCATGGTTTGAAAAGTAGCGAGTCATGCCCTCCCCCCTCCCCCCCAGATTACATTAACATCAACAGTAAATAGTTTATTTAAAAAGTAGTATATTAAGAAGTTCTTGGGTGAAGTGACACAGATCATGGTCTCCACCAGTCAGACCTTTTACCGCATAGCCCAGCGGCGCAGGCTCCCTGAGCCTCTGCTTCTCCTTGACACGGATTCTGTCTTTAATTATTAGTTTTTTTCATTTTATTTTTCAATCACAGTTTATATTCAGTGTTATTTCGTATTAGTTCCAGGTGTGTAGCATGGCGGTCAGACAATCATACACGCGACAGAGTATTCCCAGTACCCCCGGCGCCCTCCTTAGTTATTAGGATGTTACTGACCGTACGCCCTGGGCTGCACTTCGCACCCGCGGCTGTTCTGGAACCATCAACTCGGACCTTCACCTTTTCACCCAGTGCCCAAAGCCCCCTCCCTCGCAGCCACCAGCCTCTTCTCTTTGTCTGGTTCTTGCTGAGAAAGTCTTTTTCCCTCGGGGAGAAGCTCCCGATCCCGCACCCCGCTTTGTTGGGATATGACTGACAGAACACTGTGGATGGTCAGGGTGTGCGCGCGTAGCTCCCCCTCTGATCCCGGCCGCCCTGCCAGGTTGGGGGCTCTCTTGCGGGGAGCCGGGCTGGGGCTGGGACCCTTTCACTGTCCTTTGTGTGGGATGCTGGTGGTCACAACTTTTCTTGACTTCTCCCTCTGATCCCTCCCCGATGTGAATCCACATTTTCTACTCGAGTGTTTTCTCACCTGTTTCAGAGATGCGCAGGAAACGCACATTTACGGAGCGAGGGCTTGGTGTCTGCAAAGCGTCCAGTGTCTGGTGGCAAATGCAGGGGTGGTGCTGGCTTAGCTGGAGCCTGTCCCAGGCTGGGGCCAGGTCCCCTCCTTGCACTGGCTCCCGGCTCCTGGGACCCCTGAGCTAACCTGCCACAGGGCCAGCCCAAGGTTAGGCTGAGGAGTGTAAGTGGCCTGTCCTGGAATCAGAATGTGGGTATTTTAAACATATTTTAATAATAATCTTAATTTGTTAAATTCCCAAATCTTTGTAAGTTAACTGCTCCTATGGGGAGGGGTTGGGGTGGCCTCACGCACCAGGGGGAGGCAGGAGTAGCCGATGGGCAGACCCTGTGAGGTGCACGTCCATGGGTCAGCGGTGACCAAGTGGCACTGGTGAATTCTGCTTGGCAGGTGCCGGGGAAAGTGCCCCTGAGGAGGGTCATCCAGGCTTCTGCTCTGCTTTCCCCCTGAGGGTGAGGGGGTCTTCCCATCAGGAGGGGTCAGGGGTCCCTGGAGGGGCTGGCTGCGGAGTCCGTCCCTGAAGGGGGCGAGGGGTTCCTGAGGTTGGCGCCTGGGTCGGCCTGGCTCCCTGAGCAGCGCTGAGGCCCTCGGGTGAGGAGGCAGCCTTCAGGGAGAGGGGGCTGTCCCGTGTCTGACCCAAGGGGAGCAGCAGGAGGAGGCGCCCAGCTGCCCCACCTGCGCGTCCCCCACGTCACCCTTACGGGGCGCCTGCTCTGTGAGGAAAAACCACACTGTCGACGGCGGTCCCCAGGGAGCCAGAGGTTCACCCGGCAGACGTGGCGGAGAAGCCAGCCCCAGGCCTGCTGGGGCTTCCCTGGGCCTTCCTGGGGCTTGGCTGCCCCCAACGCCTGGTCTAGGCTCAGGGTGATTAAAATGATGCCCTTTTCTCAGAAAGAAGTGAAATGGAAGGCGAGGTGAGGAGAGGAGCAGCTGGCCTGGGACAGGGGCGCGGGGCGGGGCGGGGCGCACGGTCCCCTCAGGCCCCCCGGGTCAGTGTTGCGGGAGGGCCACACTCACCTCGACGGGCTGCACCAGCTGCCGGGCTCTCAAGTGCCTTCGTTTTTGTTCAGATTAAGTGAATTCTGTGAGGAAATGCTAGTGCACAGAGCTCGTCATGGCTTCTCCTGGCAGGTGCAAAGGCCTGTGATGGCAGCAAATGATACAGTAAGACACTAAACAAATAATAATGCAGCAAATACAGTGAAATATGCACTGTGCCAGACGAAATCTTTCAGAATCTTATGTCCATGGGGCAAAAACTTAAAGAGTTTTTTTTTTGGGGGGGGTGTTCTTGTTTTTGTTTAGTTTTGGGGGTTTTTTGGTGGTTTCACGGAGGCTCCTACAGAGCTGAACACAGTTAAAACGTTTACCTCTAGGCAAAGACAATTCAGGGTGGCTCCCCAATACAGAGAAGAGCGGAATGAACAAAGAGCCTTCTTCTGCACCCCCATCCCCACCCCACCCCTGGGCAGCTTCCCAGGTTGTCCACCAGGCATCTGGAATCGAGTTTGGGAAGGATGTGTCCCTTCCAATCCCAAAGCACATCTCAGCCACCCAAGTCCCGTTAATAATTCCTCCCTGTGACAGCCGCCTCTCGGATGCCCGCTGGTGCCCGGCCCAGGGCCAGGAGGGCTGAGCTCTCCCACCCGCGCCCGTCCTCCTGAAACCCTTAGAGACTCTCTGGCTTCACTGCCCTGGGCTCTGGGGGCCCACGCAGGCCGCTTGGGGCTTCTTTTCATGGAGGGGTCTGCAGCTTAAAACCACGTCCACCAGGTGGCACCAAGCCTCCTGTGTTGGTGTCGGGGACCGCGGGCGGCTGACAGTGCCAGTTCTGTCACGCAGCAGGCCTGCCGACTCCAGGATGTGAGCACCGCTCTCCAGCTCAGGCACACTCCGTAGGTAGACATCCAGCCACTGCTTGAACTCCTCCAGTGACAGGGAGCTCACCACCTCTGAGGGCAGGGTAAATAGCCCGAGTAAGGGTGGAATCAAAGGCACCAAAAAGTCACCTGTTCACTGATGTCACCAACCCACAGGTCAGTGGTTTCTGACATTCCTAGATCTTCCCAGTCTCTTTGTTGGTAATAACTTATCTCCTTTTATTTTCACTGTGTCTCTGGAGGTGCTTATCTACTGTCTGAGCAGAGGCCCCAATGAGACCTTTTATTTTATTTTGTATTGAATTTATTGGGGTGACATTGGTTAATAAAATTATATAGGTTTCAGGTGTACACTCCTATAACACATCGTCTGTGTATCGTGTGCTCACCACCCCAAGTAAAATCTCCTCCCGTCACCATTTATCCCCGCTATGCCTCTTCCACCTCCCCCGTCCTCCTGCCCTCTGGTAACCACCATGCCGTTGTCTGTGTCTATGAGTTTGTCTACGAGTTTTTTGCTTAATCCCTTCACTGTTTTTCTTACCCAGCCCCCCAACCCCCCTCCCCTCTGCTGTCAGTCTGTCTGTTCTCTATGGGTCTATTTCTGTTTTGTTTGTTTATTTTGTTCATT